GAGGGGAAGACTTGAGTGTAAATAGGAAGCAGAGAGGGAAAAATTAAAAGTCCCAGGCACCAGTGAAAAATGTTTTAATTCTGCCCTACTCATTTGTAGAAATGTCCTTCATCAGGGCACAAAATTGTATATTTGCTATTTTAAGGACCCTTAAGAAGGATAGTTTCAAAACACATACAACAACAATAAAACATTTTTCACGGCCCTTGGAATTTTTTTAGTTTTTCCCTCTTCAGATGATCACACATCAGTTTAATAAGCTGACATACAAAAGCACATTCTGCCTGTGCTGGCAACTCCGGTGCTTCCCCCTTTCCCTTGGCTAAGCAGGCAACAGGGATGGCGACCAGCTGACAGGTCATATGAGGTCAGCAGCAGCCCACCTGCATGGGCTGCCAGGGGATGCCTGGGTCCTATTCACACCACTTGGAATCAGGTATCTTGCTACCTCCCATGTTTGCCTGCCTGGTGCTCTGAAGTCCTCCTCCCGCTAACGATGGCTAGTAAGGAAAAGTTAGCAGCTCACATCCAGACAGAAAAATGGCCTTTTCTACCTAAGCTTGCATTAGGACTAAGCCCTCCATCTCCTTTTAAATCTTTTGCTGTACTTGAAATCTTTGTGCAACACCAACTGGCTTGTAGCGCTGAGAGGCAGGGAAGGATTAACTGATATTAGCGATAAAATGCTGGAAGACGCAGGTGCCAGCCCAAGGTTGCGGGAGGAAGCTCTTGTTTTGCACGAGGAAGAGAGATCAAAATTTATACCCCAAGGACACAGGAGAGAGCTGCAATGAGGGACAACTGGCCTTTGCTTGGAGTCCATCATGAGCATGAGTCAGCTGACCTGGGGAGGAATGGGGTGGGGGGGTAAAGCCCAGGGCCCGGAAAGACTTGGGGTTCCTCTTCAAGGAGAGGTTCTGTTTTATGGCCATACTCTGTGCCAAAGAACACTGTGATGGATGCCCGAACAGAGTTCGAGTGTATACTTAGGATAGGCTGAGCTTTGTTAGTTTATGCCTGAGGGGCCAACAAGGCCTGGGAGTTGGGGGCTCTTGCTTGGCTGCAATCTGGTTGTTGCAGCTCTCCAAATCCCCTCCCCGCCATTTTCCCTTTTTATCCTTTTAGCTGTTTTAATACCCTCCACCCATATATTTTTACCCTTTTAACGAAGTGATATTTTCCCCAGTGCTTGGGTTTGTCATGTGCTGATCCAGGGCCTGGTCCCGGGCTCTGGGACCAGGGAGTTGCAGGGCGGGATTTTTAGCCCAGTTGGCTGCAGGACTGGGGAATCCCACTCGGTTTCCCATTACACTTTGCACTACTACTTCTGCTCCCCCCCCCCACACTATATACCATAGTTTTGCACTTTTGTAAAGTATTTCATGTTGCATGTGATGGTTTCCATTGTTGTGAACCTGGTGAAGCACTTTGGCTATTGGACAGTGCAGATATGCGACAAATTAAAAATGAAACCAGGAACTCTTTGCATTCATCGAACTCGGAAATACAGTTAACAGCTTTGAATCACTCCCTGGTTCAATATGATCCAAGGTCACCAACGCACCTGAGTGCTGCTGAAAGTACGTCTGAGCAGGTGCAAATTGCACTGCCCTCACCTAAGCGCATATGCACCTGGCCATATTGGGGAGAGATCTTTTCCCAAAAGACAGAGGCGGTGCCCCCTTAGGCCAGTCCAATCCCGCCTCCCAGGGAAGAATCAGCCCGTTTTGGAGCGCAGCGGGCGCAAAGGACGAGGAGCCCTGTGGCACCCTGAAGAGCGCTCAGGAATGCATTCTTGCTAGCGCGGGAGCGCAGGATGGGCCGCGCGGCGCGGCGCCACAAGGCTCTTCCGCGCTGCTCTCGCTCGGCTCTTGCTCCGCCTCCGGCCATTCCTCGCAGCCCAGCCAAGGCGCGCTGGGCTCCGAGCGGGCAAAGCGTGGCGCCCCCACAGCGTCGCCCCCAGGGCTTTGCGCTGACTCCGACCGCTCCCCTCCCCTCCCCGCTCCGCTCCCCTTCCTACCGCCAGCTGGACAAGCGCCGCGCCGGAGAGCGGCCGGCGGCCGGCAGCCGCGGAAGAGGCGTGCGCCGTCCGCATCGCGCCGCGCCGCGTGCTCGCCGCGCCGCTTCCTTCTCCCTCGTCCCGGAGCCCGCCGGT